TGATCTTTGTTTGGAACTATTTTCGTTGGCAAAATTGAGCAAAACCAAGCAATATTATGTCTAAAATGTCACTTATTGTCAACTTTACTGAACTTGTATAAAATGTTTATTAAATTTGTTATCATGCTGATATCTGCAGAAAAACGGTACTCTTTGTGTGATACAGATTAAGTTAACTATATTAAATTATATGAATATAAAAAGCATATAGAAGCATTTTTGCCATCATTTAGAACGCCTTGAATTTTGAGTTTTAATAAATCACGTGCATTGGCGATATACTTGATAATGTCAGATCGCACATCATTACAACAACACTTACCATATTATCGCAGAAGATATCCAGTATATCGCACACCCCAGACTCGACTTGAGTGGAAAATGAATCATCCGCGGTTGTGCGCACACTTGTTTACACATGAGCAAAAAGGTGTTTTTAGGAGTCTAACTTGCAAACGCCAGACCACTGATTCGTCAAACCTGCTTTCCTGCAGTCCGTGTTCTTCTGACTTCTGACTATTTTGTAGTAAGTAACGAAATATAAAATGGCTGAAATATAAAAACGCAAGTAAAGTACAGATACTACCAAAAAATACTTAAGTACTGTAACGAAGTATTATTACGTCATTACATTACACCACTGCATTTTTCATGTACATGTTATACCCTAATGGCTTTCTTTCATGTTGTAGACCACGAAATAGCAACTGATTTACAGTTGAGATACAGGTTTTCACAAAAACTAAATAAATGATAAGATGATAAACCTCAACTGAGCGTTAAAACCAGGGGTGAGTCAGAAGTATAAATTATTATATTAATTTAAAACGGGGTTATGTGGGTGGATTTTCGCATTGGTCTGAATAGGGCTGGGTATCGAGTTCGATACTTTTTAGGCACCGACCGAATTGCCTCGATACCATCGAGTATTGAAAAACATCTTGTCGTTCGGTACCAAATTTCAATACCTAAGGCGTTAATCTCATCAGCGTCAGTGAGCCAATAAGCCTGCAGCACTAGACGTTGTGTTCGACTAGAAGAGGTGCGACGCGGCAGATCGTTCAGTGTTTGACATCCGCGAAAGCGATTCGAAAGCGCACGGAGCAGTCTGCTCTCTTTAGCTCTCGTGGTACTGTAATACACCGATCGGTCTGCACTGCACAGTCGGTTCGCGTCAAGTCGAACACACCTACTAATTTACACCGGTTACACTCAAAGATGTGGCGCAGACGTGAGGCTTTAGTGTGAATGCGTCCCAGCCCCCTTAGATGTAAGGCTACATTTACACTGGCGCGTTTATGTTCTAAAATGAAAACGATCCTTGTCATACTGGCGTTTCCACTGCGTTTCAAGCCGACTTTCCACTATCTCCGACAAGCGACAGACCTGTCATTCATTTCCAATGGAGAGTAGCACGGGAGCTGCGTGGAGTTCCGTTCATATGCATATGTCCGTTCATACTAACGTTACAAGACCGAAAGCGCATGTTATGTGACCATTCATGCAAACTGTAGCATCATGCTACATAGGACAATAAATAAGATTTATATTCCGCTTTTACTCATATTACTCATAATATAATCTTGTTAAAATTTATTTCATAAAATTGGTATAGAAAAAAGTATCGTTCAGTAACCGGTATCGATACCGAAAATTTTTGGAAAATACCCAGCCCTAGGTCTGAACAAAAACTACAGACTGGATTAAATGAACATGAACAAAATGAACATTCATTCTCTGCCAGTAGGAGGCGCTTTTGGAACGTCAGAAATATAGAATGAGAAAAAATATAGCCTATATTGACGAGGAAAGTTCACTGATGAGTTACCAGCGTAAGCCTGTGTGCAAATACATTTATTTTTAGTTATTTTAAGTACAAATTTAAATAAAACTGAAAGAATAATGAAAAGACACTCTTCTTCCACTCTCTTCCATAGACTGTAGTGGGTTTCTTAGCCATAACTTTTGTCGCCAAGGATTTTCCAGAGATTTTCAGTTGGGTTTAGATCAGGACTCTGGACCGGCCATTATTTCCATTTATTATTTCAGTGTTCTTACGAGGAAAGTCCACTGATGAGTTACCAGCGTAAGCCTGTGTGCAAATACATTTATTTTTAGTTATTTTAAGTACAAATTTAAATAAAACTGAAAGAATAATGAAAAGACACTCTTCTTCCACTCTCTTCCATAGACTGTAGTGGGTTTCTTAGCCATAACTTTTGTCGCCAAGGATTTTCCAGAGATTTTCAGTTGGGTTTAGATCAGGACTCTGGACCGGCCATTATTTCCATTTATTATTTCAGTGTTCTTGACTTCAAGGAACTGCTTTACCTGTTTTGCAGTGTGACGGGGGCATTGTCTTGCATGAAAATTTCAGGCTAATTGGGAGATGCTTGCAGGGAAGGAACTGCATGTTGCTGAAGGAGGTTCTGATAAACATTTGCATTCACCCTGTCTATAGATACTTCCTCCTCCACCTTTCACTGACTTCTTTACGCACTCGGGCTTCAGTCTTTCCCCAGTTTGATGCCGAACATAATGTTTCCCATCGGACCCAAATAAATTAACCTTGCTCTCATCACTAAAGAATCAGAATCAGAATCAGAATGAGCTTTATTGCCATTTGTTTTCGTGACAGAAGCTTCCACAGTGTAACAGAATGACAGTGACAGAACAAAAAAACAGATAATAAAAAATAAAAAAATAAAAAAATAGAACAAGTAAAATAAGGAATCAAAAATATACAAATCGACAATTGTATGTACAGGTATATAACAATAGACAGTTGTATGTACAGGTATATTATGTGCA